GGCTACGCACAGGACGGATTATGCGCGGCGGCCTGCCAAGCAGCGTCTCGTCTCCGCTAGGGCCTCGCCCCACCGCCAGGGCGGCGCTGTAGGTCCGTGAGGTCCGTCGGAGTACAGCCGAGTGGGGCAGGTGAGTGACTCTCCTGAGTGGATCTAATTGGGGCAGCAGCCTAGACTTTGAGCCCGCTGACTTGGGGGTGCAGACACTGGCAGGGCCTATGTCCTATCGGTAGAATTGGGAAAGGCGCAGTAGTTGCAGTACATCTTCGGTAAGGGGCCCATGCCAGACGCTGGGGTTCAGTCGTTTTCAATGCTTCTTTACAAGTAGGAACTCTCACAAGTCAAAAAGTTTGAAATATTTTGGCCTCTGGACAAAAGGTTATAGGTTTTGCCCGGCCGGCGTGGCTCAGTGGTTCAGTGTTGACCTATGAACCAGGAGGTCACGGTTTGGGCACAGGTTGCAGGCTCAACCCCAGTGTGGGGTGTGCAAGCGGCAGCCAATTAGTGATTCTCTCTCTTCATTGATGTTTCTATCTCTCCCCCTTATTCTCTAAAATCAATAAATATATTTTAAAGAAAGTTTATAGGTTTTAAGTTACTAACTTTGTTTCTTATTCCAAAACTTATGGCCAGTTAGCTTCCAGTCAGCAGGTGTCAAGAACTAACACAACGGTTCTGAATTGCTTAATCATGGCTCAAGGCAAAAGCCTGCAGTTGATTAGCCTGTGATACCTAGTCAAAGAGAGAGTGTACCAGATTTTCCTTTTTTAGCTCTGGAGGGTCAATTGGCAGTGTCGTTGTCAGTATATATTCGAAACTTTAAAGCAGGGGTCCTCAAACTACGAAAACAGGGGGCCAGTTCACTGTCCCTCAGACCGTTGGAGGGCCGGACTATAGTTTAAAAAAAAAAAACTATGAACAAATTCCTATGCAACCTGCACATATCTTATTTTGAAGTAAACAAACAAAACGGGAACAAATACAATATTTGTATTTGCATGTGGCCTGCT